TCCAGGAGATCAGCGCGCAGTTTCCTGAGGTGAGGCTGGGTGTTCGAGGGACACAAATTTGATGTGTGAGGCCATTGAAAAGTCGGATTTGACAAGTTGTGCTTTGTGCGACTCGGATAAAACACGCAATTCACTTGTAGACCGACCACTGCTCGAGAAGGTACACAAGTGATTCCAGCAACGAATTTCCTGTCCCCCCGTTCCCCACACCGAAAACGAGTCGAAGGGTGTTACAATCCACTCCCACCACAGAGTAAGGCACCATTTGCACACTTTGATGAAAAAAACTTAATTCCCATTGCGTTTCTCCCGCAGTGCTGACGTAAGTTGGTTGACCAGCCAGTTGTACGCTGCGCTAAGGCCTCGGTAGGTTGACCCACTTAACAAATGCTCTTCTTCCGCAGTATCTACTCGATTTATTGGGGACACAACGTGGATACGGTACTGTCAACGATGCCACCCTTCCCTCGACACCATGTGGTCGACGAGTGCTGTTTGTTCACACAACCATTCCCTCTCTGTGTCTCTCTGCCCGTCATTCCCGTGCCTCCAAAACCTCAGTTCTGGGCGTTCTCCCTCCTGGGCATGGCCTTCATCGAGTACAACACCATCATGACCGCCTTCGACACCCCCAGCGCTGTCACCGGCGAGGGCGGCCTGAAGGAGGACTACATCCCGGGAGACCTCGGCTTCGACCCCCTCAACCTCAAGCCCGACGACGAGGCGGCTCTGGACGTGATGAAGACCAAGGAGCTCAACAATGGCCGTTTGGCCATGATTGGCATCGCCGGCATGTTGGCGCAGGAGCTGGTGAACCCGGCCGACATCCTCGGCTAGATTGTTTTACTTTGTCGGTTGGGATTACCTGGGTGTACGAATCAAGTGTGTTCGTGTGCTTTTGTCAGTGTTTTATGCATCCTTCGATCCGAGAGCATGGGGAAGGTACATGGCACTTACTGTACGGCTTTGTCTCGCGATGGTAGATGCTGGTGTGGTTGGCGTTCCTTGATGCTTACGTTTTCGGCTTCAAGTTACTTCTGTACCGGTTTAGTTTTGAAGGTCGACAGTTGGACTTCTCGACTCTAACGGTTTCTTTCACACCACCGCTAGGAATGTCGGCGTACGGAGAAATCTGTATCGCTCTTGCCACATTTGGTGGCGACAGGTTCTGCTCGATGTTGTTCCAGCTGTTTTTTCTTTGGACGAGCTTTGCGAATTGGCTGTTCGTGGTTTTCAATCTCTAATCGATCCTAGTGTCCGAGACAGACTGCTACCTACACCCACGACAGCTCTCTTGTCGAGATTGTGAAGGTCGAGCATGAGAAGTGATGAACGATTCGATGCGTTGTGCCGTATTCGAGACTCCCCGAATATCGCGTTTGCGAGTCTGACGTGTGTGGTAACAAGAGAATGGCAGCACGGTAATGTATGTAGTCAACTTTTTCGTGCATGCTCGCCCCCTCGTGGTTTGTATGTTGTATAGGGACTCGTGAAGGTATTTGTTGTAGACGATTGGTGGGAAGTGGGGTAGTGTTATTTTTTGTCGCACCTGGCACCGATGTCCCACTTTGCAGCTTGCGTGCAGTGGTGTCCGAGGTGTGTCGCATCGAGATGGTGTGCTACGCCCTGCTTCTTGAAGTTCATTTGTTGTTTGTTTGAATGTCCTTGACAACGTCTCGACTTTGCCGTGCAGCGTGAATGGCGTTGAGGGTATGTAGTGTTTTTATGAATCGAACAATCGAATACAAACTTGACGAAAACGTCCATGTCTCACGTGACACCTTCTGGCGACAGTACCGTCGTGGTTAATGGTTGAGGGGCGAGATACCTGCCCTACGCGAATCAGCCCTTGACACCTGCTGGCGGCAGTGCGTGAAACAACGCATGGAGTATGCATCATGCATGGCATGCATCTGCCCTCACCGGCCGCCATTTGTGACCGTGATGTCCCCACCGACTAGCGTGTGAGGATATCGGCATGCCATACCGGCATACGAATGAAGCTGCGTCTTCACTTCGTAACCCACAAGCAGGAACTGCTGTGATGGCCATTCTACTGTCTTTTCATCATGCGCAATCGTGTAAACGTGCCATGATGGCGAATGAATGTGGTTTTTCTTTCGCTAGTCGGTGGTGGGCAAACCCCTAAACAAGTATGTACGGAAAGACGCTCACGGCATTCGGCGAAGGCATCAAGGTTGACGTATTTACGGCCCCAACAAGAACTGAGAATAGTCATTATCCCATTTACCTTCGTGGCTGTTGTGTCTGGCCTAGAGCAGACGACAAGTGTTTCTACCCGACCGACCGGAAGATCGGCTTCGGCACATCAATGCATCAATGCTGGAACCAGGCCAGCCACTGTACTGAGCCTATCGTCGATTTTGGACCTCCACGGACGAGTAGGGAAAGGTCTTGTGCTTATTCCGATGCCCGAATGTTCGACCATGTGTTTATTGGAAGTGCTGGGTTTTAGGGGCTTCGTTGTGGAGAATATGTCTTCAATAGATGGACAATGAAATAGGGTTATCCCTCGCCCGTCGGTCAAATATCCACTCCAGAGATCTATCCTACACGGCCAGCCAGCTGAAAATTTCTAGATGGAGCATGCCAACAAATCGGCCGCAACAAAGTCGTCGTCGGCAACGTACGGCATCGATCGGAAGCGCCAGCACACCCTACCTTTCTCGTACACTTACAGACGACTCCTGTCTCAAGATCTCACCACCTCTCGTCGTTCAGCCTTTGATGTTTTTGCTGTGCTGTCGTACATGGTTCGGGAGCGATCAAAATAGAGCGTTCGTTCATATTTTTCATAGCATACCCCTACGCATAGATAGATAGCTGCCACCATACCCGAAGAGACTCCGAGCAGGCATTGCGGATAATACTACTACTACTTCTGTAGATGGGAGCTTGTGAGGGATGGGTGGAGGGAGGTTGGAAGGTGTGGCAGCTGGGATGATTCGAGCGAACAAGAACCAACCATGACGAGAAGCTCTACGTCCCAAGCATCGCGTCGATCACCGTGGCGTAAAACTTGTCGTTGATGAGTCAACCCACCGCGCTCACCTTCCGGCCTCCCTTCCCTCATCCTCACATTGAACATTAGCTACTTGTGCTCAGCATCTCTTCGGGTGTGTGTGGTGGTACATAATATATGAGGAGAACGGTACGGTTGTTGTTGTTGTTGTATTCTTCGCTATACAAAACCGTTCCGGTGTACTCCGCTCTGTACCTTTTCTAATGTCCGTAATACTGGTCCCACCCTAAAACCCTAAAAGGGGGTCCACCTTTCTAGAAATAATATAAATGAAAATCGAGGCCAAAAAGGTCTTCCAGGGCGTGATTTTTTTTCCCCAAACGAAAAAGAAAAATTACCGGGATACAGACGATCGATCCCGGGTCAAAAAGGATGAAAACGGAGATTGGATATATTCCGCACCACCCGAAACATGTCCTTTGGCTCGTTTTCGTAGTACGTGCAAACATTGGGTCGTCAACGCACTTCCATGAGCATCCATCCATGTCGAACCCAATTATTTGAGTTTCCGGTTGCACAACGTACTGTACTGGAAGAAAGACTGGCTGGCGCTTTTTGCCTGCACTACATTAGGCCAGGCGACAGTGCATGTAGTCGTTGTCGATGAGAGGATGGCAATACTTCACACACTTCCTTGGCCGTCTGAATATATACCAACCTTGAATCCTTCGCCGAACTCTGCGCCCTCTTTCCGCACTTCATCATGATGAGAGGTGCGGCTTCCTCCATGCGTGAATGGGAAGATGGCCACGCGCCCGGGAATCGTACTTCCGTGTTAGTTGTGGGTTCACGTAAGCGCAAGTTATAATGAACTTGTTTCTGGGTGTCGGGTATGTTGCCGGTGCGCGATGCCGGTGTTCTCCGAACCACATGGGCCGTGGTAATACGGGTTAGATGGCGTCAGTGAGGGCAGATGCATGTTTGCATCGTTTTACGAGTCCGTAGAACATCACCATGCGTGCATCGTTGAACGAGTGCGTACGCTAGACCATCACAGTGTCAAGGGCTGTTGTAGTTGCCCGTGGGGGGCAGAATGCTGCCCTCCGACATCAAGCACGCAAGTACTGCTGTCACCAGCAGGTGTCACCTAGGACGGGGATGTTTTCGTTCATTTTTCGATTGACAGCACGACATCAACTAGGGAAATCAATAGAGAGTCATCACTTGGATTGAACATCCCTCTGATGATACTAATACACACAACAAAATTTAACCAAGGGCGCACGCGTCGCACAACAACTCGACGAGGCACACCTTGGACGCCACTGCACGCAAGCTACAAGGTGAAGCATCCGTGTGAGGTGCAATTAACCAACGATCACACCGCGAGGAGGCAAGCCTGTACGAGAGCATTGGCTACACACACAAATGGAAAGTGCTACACTCTCTTTTCACCACACACGTCAGACTAGCAAACACGACATTCCGGCGCGCAACACTCTATGTTGCTCTTCTATCGCCACCAGCTCGACCTTTCGAGTTTAGACAACACCAGAATCGTGAAGACATATCTCAACGGAAACAGCCAAATGGCGAAGCTTGTCTAAAGGAAAAACACAAGACAAAATTGTTCGTGAGCCTGAGCGGGAATAGCGTCGGCTAAACAACAAGCAAACTTTCTCACCATAATGACAAGTGCGACAAAGATTCTTCCCTCCACCGACATCACCATCGGTGGTATGCATGGAAGAACCAAAATAATGGAAGGCCAATCGAATCGTCGACACTCAGCAATCCTTCGGTACAAAGGCAAATTACAGCCGAAAAAGTAAGCATCAAGGAACTTTCGTATCACATCAGCATCTACGATCGCGAGACAAAGCCGTAACAACACGGTAGCACCTCCTAACTACCTTCCATGCTCTCGGATCGAAGGATGCATAAAACATTTGACAAAATAACACGAACACACTTGATTCGTACACCCAGATAATCCCAACCGACAAAGTAAAACAATCTAGCCGAGGATGTCGGCCGGGTTCACCAGCTCCTGCGCCAACATGCCGGCGATGCCAATCATGGCCAAACGGCCGTTGTTGAGCTCCTTGGTCTTCATCACGTCCAGAGCCGCCTCGTCGTCGGGCTTGAGGTTGAGGGGGTCGAAGCCGAGGTCTCCCGGGATGTAGTCCTCCTTCAGGCCGCCCTCGCCGGTGACAGCGCTGGGGGTGTCGAAGGCGGTCATGATGGTGTTGTACTCGATGAAGGCCATGCCCAGGAGGGAGAACGCCCAGAACTGAGGTTTTGGAGACACGGGAATGACAGGCAGAGAGACACAGAGAGGGGATGGTTGTGTGAACAAACAGCACTAGTCGACCACATGGTGTCGAGGGAAGGGTGGCATCGTTGACAGTACCGTATCCTTGTGCCGGGAGGAACAACACTCGAGTAGGTACTGCGCAAAAGGGCACTTGATGAGTGGGTCAATCTGCCGAGGACTTCGTACAACAGGCTGGTCAACCAACCGATATCAGAACGGTGGTGACACAGCAATGCGAATAACGTCAGCCATGTTTTCTTTCGAAGTATGCAGATGGTGCCTTGCTGTGGTGGGAGTGGGATCATACCACCCTTCGACTCGTTTTCGGTGTTGGAGGGGGAGGATAGGAAATTTAATGCTGGAACCACGTGCTTGTAACTTCTCGAGCGCTGGTCTACATGTGATTTGTAATTTGAACGGAGTCGCAGACAGAGTCGGCTGGTTTCATCCGAGTATCTCTTTGTCTAAAATATCATCAGCGAGTATCCAACCAAATGTGCTTCGCCGAACACGCAGCCTTACCTCAGGGAATTGTGCGCTGATCTCCTGGAAGTGGTCCACGGCGGGACCAATGTAGTCGGGGCCCATGAAGAACGGGTGGTATTGCTAAAGAATCCAGAGGCGACAGACGAAAGCGAACACCATGCGATGCGGTTTGACGAAAATCATGAGCAACACGAAGGACTCGATTGGGTTCTGTGTCAAAGCAAAAAAGGATTGTAGTATCGCTGGAGAATACAGAACACATGCCGCCCTTTCTGAAGCTACATGCCTATGGTCAGCAAATATATTGACGCGCGCATGGTTGCCTCACCTCTGCGACGATGACACCGAGGGAAGCAAGCATGGCCACACGCCCGTGCTTGATCTCGGCCTCGCGCCACTTCTTGATGTCGCCGGGGGCGGCGCCGTCAGATAGGCCCAGGGGGTCGAAGATCTGAGGCACGAGGGCGTTGGGACAGCAGTGATCAAAGACCGCAACGGGTGAGACAACTTCGTCACGGAAAATCCTTCCATGTGCACAGGTACCGCAACGTGATTAATGTGTCGACTCTCAACCTCTGCGTCGTGGTTAGGGTACCTTGGACAGCGCGGCGTTACAACAGATCGATGGTTTGAGAGGTGCATCGACGACGAATGAATACATGCTGTTGGATGCGCCAAGCCACATGTTGTGCAGACATACATGCGTGTGGATCCGCATTTGCATGTCTCCGCTTACCTAATATGCCAAAACATTCACGTCACATCTGTCCATGCCATTATACCTAACGTGTTCTCGTCGGTACATGTACAGTACGCCAACAAAGATTGCTGTGTTCGGTAACATGAGCACTGAGAGACAACGACTCTGAGGATATTCTACATGTAGAGCAGTACAAAGCACCACCCTGGGTGATACTCTAGAGCTCACACCCTGGGTGTTCCTAAGGCGACCACACACACGTCATCATCACCTTTCCGTCAGAGAAGGGAGCTCCGGGCAGGGTCGCGACGTAGTCCGATCCAGCACTCATCTTGAGGCTCGAGGAGGAAGGAGTAGTGGCAACAGATCGCACGGCCATCGGTGCGACGAAGGCAGTCGAGGAGGCGATGAGGGTGGCGGCAGTGCCGATGAACATCTGGGAGGCGACCATCTTGCTTGGTAGGTGGAGTGTGTGTTGGGGGATTGTCAGTTGGAAGGAGGGATGAGGGTGTGTTGCGGTTGTGGGAGGATGTGGCGAGGCGTGGGTTTGTGACGATGCGGCAAGATTGTGCGTGATGTGAGCCAGAACATATCGTGACGCGCAAAGTTCTCGCACGTACGCATAATTAGATTTTTTTTTTTTACATACTATGCGTCAGACAGCCGTCAGACACGTCACGACACGAGACGGCAATTCACAGCCAGCAGAGGGGGTGGGCCTGTGATAAGGCTAATAAGGGCTGAGACTCGTGGCCATTCCCTGCACCCTAGAAGTATCACGAGATCACGAGCCGCCGGGGGCTTGTCATTTGCTCTGTTCCCGCCTCGGGGTATTTATTTCAAATTTTAACCCTCAAAGATGATTGGCTGAGCCAGCCGTGGCATGACGTGTATCGAAGTACGTACGCAAGAAGCGCGGTTTCAGGTTTTCGGTTTTCGGTTTTTAGTTCATATTTTTTCCGTTGATGCGGTTCTCCGTAGAACTTCTCGTCACCAAATGTTCTTGCTCACACGAAATCACCGCAGCTTCGGCACCCGCCTCCCTCCCCCCTTCCCTCACAACTTTCTCTCTTTCCACTCTTTCCACTCTTTCAACCCCAAACAAAATGGTTGCCTCCTCCAACATGTTCCTTGGCACTGCCGCCACCCTCATCGCCTCTTCGACTGCCTTCGTCGCACCGATGGCCGTGCGATCTGCGGCGCCCGCGTCCTCAGCTTCGGCCCTCAAGATGAGCGCTGGATCGGACTACGTTGCAACCCTGCCGGGAGCTCCCTTCGGCGATGGAAAGGTATCGTACACACGCACGATCCTTTCCACAGCCAGTCAGTCGTGAATGGTAGTTGTCTCTGCTGCTGCCGTGCTCTGTGCAGATGGTTGACCCATATCTGCTCATTTTTTCGAGAGGCTCGTAGATGCGCAGACGAATTCTTGCACGCGCATACGTACACACAGATCCATTTGCGCTGACTGCGCTGACACGTCGACAGATATGTGTGTACATTGTCGCAGACGTGGAACTGTAGGAGTCAACTGTTCCTTTGGGCGTGGTAGATCTCTGCCAAGCTTGTTTCAGGAGTGTCTTGCCTCTCCGCCTTGTGGGGTGGCGGCTGCGGGGTGGCTTATTCCAACAAGATCCTCCCGCCGTTCTATTCTGCCGTGCTGGCTCTCTCGTGTTCTTTCGATCGCTGAACCCGCCAGATCTTCGACCCCCTCGAGCTGTCCGATGGCGCTGAACCTGGAGAGATCAAGCTCTGGCGTGAGGCCGAAATCAAGCACGGGCGTGTGGCTATGCTCGCGACGGTTGGCGTCATTGTGGCGGAGGTATGATCCAAACACACGACTGTCTGCGGTTCTTGTAGAGAAAAAGGCACCTCCCTCGCAAGCTATCTGCCGCCGTGCGTACCTCTTCGGAAAGAATAAGGTGGTGTTGTGTTGGGCGGGACAATTAGCGTTGATCTCTATGTCAATATGTACACCGAATGCATGCGCAACAGGACAGCGCAGAGGGATGGAGGTTCGATCTTTGTGGAGTGACATGCGATGCGTACATACATGATTCCTGCCTTGACCTCCGCCGACTTGAGCGGACAGAGGCGGCCCGAAAAAATGAGGCGGCGAATTTTTTTCGTACATAATGCAGGAGCCAAATGTAGCGTTGTAGGGAGCAAGTAATCAGTATCTCTGCGAGTTCAACTCGGGACTACTCGTGCGGCAGAGTACGGCGGGATCTTGCCCCCTACTCACTGGCATTTAAGCATGATATGTCCTTTTCTCTGCGTCAATAACCAAGCATATGTATTCCTCCGCTCCTATGCGGCTGGAAGAATTTTTAGTTGTACCTAAAATTTTGTACGAAAGACTGGTTTTAGGCGAAAAGAGGTTACATCGCCTCAATGACGGCCAAAAGATTCTGGGCATGTGTACAGCGCTTAACTCGACGGAGTCGTACCTTCTCACCCCTTCCCTGCTCCACCGTTGCCTCCTCACTTGCCCACTCCAGCAATACCACCCTCTCTTCATGGGCCCCGACTACATCGGCCCTGCAGTGGACCACTTCCAGGAGATCAGCGCGCAATTCCCCGAGGTAATCAGTATAACGGACAAGAGATGCCGCGACTCCAGCGCTGAGGCGCAACCGCTTTGACTCTCAGATCGAAAGCAGCGTCGTCCATTGATGCTGGACAGTAGTGCAAGTGTTTTCCTTGCCGTCGGATGGTATTGTCATTTAGCGTGTCCTTGTCGGCGGTGACATGGGTACCGTGTTTGTCCTCATAAATCGGTCTCTTGAAACATGAAAAGCATTGGCGTACGTGGTGAACCCGTGGGCATGTTGCCACGCCTACACTGAGGGCAGGCCAACCAGTTGCACGTCAGACCTTGTCCGAAAACTGGGCATTGTTGTTGTATCGTTAACATTACTTTGCTAGTTTCCCCGGACTCTAACCGCGGATAGGTAGGACATGTCTTCCAAAAATCTCGAAGTATGTACGTTAAAATCGAACACGTTACTGCCGCAAGCACGAGGGCCGCAAACACTATAATCGAGAAAGGGAGAAGCGTGAGTAGGACAGAGGGCAGCAGCAGTATCCCACCATACCTACCGAGTGGGACACCACCATACTGCTGTACCTGCGGAGTATGGATAGGTGTGGTGTTCATTCTGTAAGCCTTGTTTGGGTTTCTAGAAGAAAGTAATCTCTACCCACAGGTTCAAGAGTTCGGGGTTTTACGTAGCGATGAACGCAATCATAGTCTTTTGTCAATTCGTTGTGTTTCATGAGGAAAAAATAAAAACTGGACGACGACAAACATAACAAGTTGGTTGACCACGTGATGCGCGATGCTCCCAACGTTCACACTTCCGGGCTACATGATCAATGGCCCGTTGCTTTCTCTGCTTTCGACTCTGGGCTTTGCTGAGCAAGGGGAAACTATATTCGCACCCATCAACGCTGTGTGGGTTAGTTGTGTTGCACACTTCTCCTGTTTCAGGAATCAAGCGCTTTCCGTAACATCATTCTGGAGCATCCGTGGGTATGCGTAGCCGCGATCAAGCCCCAATGTCTTTTGGCAATAAAAAATGTAACCCCCGGGCCCTTATATATCCTGCGCTCGCGCCCACGGCCGTGATCGCCCCCCACTGCAGTTCTGGGCTTTCTCCCTGCTCGGCATGGCCTTCATCGAGTACAACACCATCACCAAGGCATATGCTGAGCCCAGCCCCGTTACCGGTGAGGGTGGCCTCAGGGATGAGTACAGCCCGGGAGACCTTGGCTTCGACCCCCTCAACCTCAAGCCTAAGGACCAGGCGGGCCTGGAGAAGATGCAGACCAAGGAGCTTAACAACGGGCGCCTCGCCATGATCGGCATCGCCGGCATGTTGGTGCAGGAGCTGGTCAACCCGGCCGACATCCTCGGCTAAACGGAATGGGAGGAACGGGGTCGCTTTTGCGGCCAAGCCTGACCGCAAATCGGTCTGTACATAGAAGGGAGACAGCCCAACAAACGTGCCGTGTACTGCTGCGTTGCATACATACGTGTTCGTTCCTTGAGAGAACGAATTAATGGGTGTTAGCACTGCACTGGTCAAATACAACAAGGAAAGAACGGATGCACGTGTGTCTGTTGGATGTCTTTTTTCTTTTCAGTACATGGTGACCCTCCACGTGTAACGAACCCTGAAGAGATTTCGGCTGGTTCTTTTGGCTGACGTGGCGACTTCCGTGGGTTCATTTCGTATATTTAGTTGGTCAAAGAAAACACATGATGCTTCCTTGAAACACACCTGTAGTTTGAAACGTTTTTTACTCGTTCAGTCCTTGTTGATGGCATATCCTCGGTTTTCACAGTAAAAGAAGGGGGCCCAGAAGGCTGAGGGGTCGTGTTATCTGACCGGATGCATTTTTAATAACGTGCCAGCAGACGCGCGAGATTGTCATACACCCGCTCTGGCCCTCTTGTGGAAGACATGGTCTTAAGCCTGATTTGAATGGAGTGTAGTCAATAGTTCGCACGTGCCTCCTGCGGTGCGCTTTCTCCGACAGGGACTTAGACCTGTGACGGAGACACAACACTCCGTAGACTGATTCGAGTGGTAGTGTCGCGGCGGAGGGAACGATATGAGTGGTGACTGGCGGTGTGGGCATGTAGAGGTTTCAGGTCTGTCGGGTGACTTTCCCCGAGAAAAGAAAGAGGCAATATTCTGTTGAAAAGATGATACATCCGTTAAGTTCGCTGCTGGAAGATTGGACCTGAAACGGCCGCTCACAGCGCAAATGTCAAGGTGCATTTGTTGCGATGTCGAATTTTTGGACTCTTGAGACGTAGTTGGCGATACGAAGCCGCCGTTCGGACGGAACAGAGGTGCCCATGGCGAACATCGCACTCGCGGCCACCCCCACCCTCTTGCTGCGTGGCTTGTGCCAAAGGTCCTGGTGGGTGGCGACGCGGATGGGAACGTAGTTGATAAACCTCTCCACACGATTTGGGTGTAGATCTCTTAAGTACCTTCCAACATTCAGCAAATCACCACAAGCAAGTTCACCAAACACTGACTGGATTACGTTCGTTCGCCTCCTCCGTGACCGGGAGACGCACCGAAAAATGGACGAACAAAATGGAATATACATATTATATAGATAATACTCTTGGCCAACATGAAAGAAAGTCGATGCGTCTACCGTTTGTTATCCGCACACTTGCCTGCCGGCTGCTAAAAATTTACGCATCGGAGGCAACAGCCCACGTAAACCTTGGACACTAATGTCGCTAATGTCGAGTTCAAAGAACGACCTAGGCTACGCGTCCGTGGGAACCATTTCGGCAAAAGACAAGCCACCCCCCCCGCTCTCCCGGGTGCTGAAAGTGCTGGATGAATTTTCGTTCTTCCTATAAAGAAAGGCAAAACCCACGGAGGGCAAATCCTTTTCCCATATATAATATAGGTCACAACTAAATTTCCTAGGGAAACCGAAGCTTTGGTGCAGACCAAAGGGAAAACGCCCTCGAACCTGCCTCCCGCAACCCCCCCCTCAGCTGGCCAAAACACCGGTTCTAGACTGGATACATACACGTACGTGGGAAACCGAAGCTTTCGTGTAGGCCAAAGGGAAAACGCCCTCGAACCTGCCTCCCGCAACCCCCCCCTCAGCTGGCCAAAACACCGGTTCTAGACTGGATACACGTGCGTATGGTCCAACGCACTGTCGAGCCCCGATCTATCCAACAATACAAGTGATCAGTCAGACGGATGTATGTATGAGTGTTATGCCATGCACCAAAATATTTCAAACTCTAATGTAATAAACTATCAACACCCAAGGAAGGGTGTTAGATAAGTCTTATCCATTAGACTACTCAGCGGTCTTTGTCTAACAAAATATATACTCTCGGCTCGTAGCTTCTCCCAGCTGGATCATCAGTGGTTGTAGGGATCTCAGGGAACGGACCCCTCGCCAGGGGCTGCCGGGAAAAGAACTACCATGTTGCTTCAAAAGTGATCGAGCTGGGATTTGAACCAGTATGCGTGTCCGGCGCAGCTGCCGCCGCCGGCGAGCGAGGGGGGGGATTCGGGTGTCGCCGCCGCGCCGGCAGCGCTGTTCCTGACTGAGTACGTTCTACCGCCTCTAACCCCCTCCCGCCGGTCGCCTGCTCTCCCTCTCTCCTCGCTGCCGTTTCCCCACAGGCGCCGCCGGCCACTTCCACACCACCATCGCCGGCGGCGCCGTCCACCGCAGCCACACCACAACCAACCGACGTACACCACCGCCGCGCCGCCGGCCACACCGCACACCGCCGCCGTGCCGCCGGCCACGCCGCATAAAACCACCGCGCCCCCGGCCACGCCGCCGACCACACCGTTCGCCGCCGCGCCACCGGTCACCGACACGCCGCCGACCTCTGCCTCTACACCATCGCCGCTCGTGTCGCCACCCGGCGTCACGCCATCGACCAACACGCCGCCACCCACCACGAGGGCCATCCGAGAACTAGACGTGGAGCGCGGGGGCATGAGGGTTCCTGATCGTACGAGGGCAGCCGCCAAGGAGCAGGAGCAACGGGGCCAGCGCCCGTCGTCGATGCCGCCCCTTACTGCCGGGGCCATTCGAGAGCTGGACTTGGGACGTGAGACGCGGGTGCCAGGGCGTTTGATGGGTTGTGGGGTGCGTTTCCAGGATGGGGGGGGGCGAGCGGTCAACGTCATCGGGGGAGAGCGGCGACGCTCTCGGCCACCGCTTTGGGCCTGTGTCCCTACAGGACAAGGCAATGCTTCTGTCCCCTCACCACCCGCAGCGTCGTCGATGGAGGGCGACGGGAGATTCCGAAATCAGCCGGAGGGAGAGATGGAGTGGAACCGGGGGGGCGGGAGCAGGGGGGCGGGAGCAGGGGGACACAAAAAACCGAAGGACCGCGTGAAGAAGTCCCATTTGCGTGTTCCACCTTCTTGCCACTCGAGATGACATTCATAGAGCCATGAGGGACTTAAAGGGAGGTAGTGCCATAGATTTGCCCTACTGTTTTGCAAGCGACTGAATGCCCCGAAAACATTTAGGGAGGCCATGACTTCAGGATATGGGTAATTGTACAAGGTTTCCGTAGAGCGTGAGTTAAGATGGAGGATGGTACTTTCGAGCCAGTTCCTTAGCAACCAGAGAGCGTCATTAATGAGGACACTGGCTATTGTCGGAGACAGATGCCGGTGCCGTGGCAGTATTATCCCACTGCCAGGGGAAGGCTATTATTTCCTCTCGTGATGTGTAAACGAGGAGAAGAGGGTAGAAAGAGAGAGTGGCCATAGAGGCAGAGGGAGAGGAGAGTCGAAGACTCTCCGCTTCCACTTTCGGCAAGTGGCCAGGGACTTCGGAAGATATCCATCTCCGACGGTGCATTTCCTGTCACTCTCCTTGTGACAAGATACCCCGAGGGAGCCATATCTTCCTACACTTTGTATGTGCACACATGGTTGGTTATACTCCTGACAGGTGTCCTCCACATCACCCCCCCCTCTATGCGCCACAAGTCCATCTGTGCTAAAGATGTGCTTTTGGCGGCCATAGACATGAGTGGCTCATGGAGACACATGTATTGGAGTTAACCTACCTGGTACAACATCATCAACTCGGCCTGATTATCATACAACGCGTGTTAAAAAACACGGAGTCTTCGGACGGAGTAGTGATAGATGTGGTCCATACTAGTATAGTCTAGAAAAAAAATTGTGGGTACTGGGCTATCATGATGACAGCTAGTGTACTAAAATATTTCGCATGATAATGCTGTGGGGTTGATGAGAGATAGACTCGTAATGAGGTGACCCTCCGGCGAGTCTGTCTTTTCATCATAAAATAATATCGTGATGAGGAATAAACTTGTAATGAGGTGACCCTCTAGCAAGTTTATCTATTCATCATCGAAAAATAAGATCTTGATGGGGGATGAACTTGTAATGAGGTGACCCTCTGGCAAGTTTATCTGTTCACCAAAACATAAGATATTGATGGAGGATGAACTTGTAATGAGGTGACCCTCTGGCAAGTTTATCTATTCATCAAAAATAAGATCTTGATGGGATGAACTTGTAATGAGGTGACCCTCTGGCAAGTTTATCTATTCATCACAAATAATAAGGTATTGATGGGGGATGAACTTGTAATGAGGTGACCCTCTGGCAAGTTTATCTATTCATCAAAAAGTAAGATCTTGATGGGGGATGAACTTGTAATGAGGTGACCCTCTGGCAAGCTTATCTATTCATAAAAAAAATAAGATATTGATAGAGGATGAACTTGTAATGAGGTGACCCTCTGGCAAGCTTATCTATTCATAAAAAAAATAAGATCTTGATGGGATGAACTTGTAATGAGGTGACCCTCTGGCAAGTTTATCTATTCATCACAAATAAGGTATTGATGGGGGATGAACTTGTAATGAGGTGACCCTCTGGCAAGTTTATCTATTCATCAAAAAAATAAGATCTTGATGGAGGATGAACTTGTAATGAGGTGACCCTCTGGCAAGCTTATCTATTCATAAAAAAAATAAGATCTTGGGACAGCGGTGGTATAATTCAACTCTCCTCGCGAGTGTTTCCCCAAACACTTCAAAAATAGGTTGTTTCCCCTGGATACAACCCACCACCACCGTGGGTACTGGTCCTGTGCTAAATGTATATAATATGTAACACAGAATAATAGTAGTATAAATTTGTCCCAAGTCTCGGAAAAGATAGACATGGCAACTGTTAGGAACGATAGAATACATCAATCGTTTAATTTCCGGGCCCTAGTTCGTTTTCGTTTGCTAGTACGGCAGGGCAATTGAGTATCACTCTGTGTCGTAGCAGAACGCGACTTGGGTAATGGACGCTCCTTTAGGAGCCTTCTTCGTCGCTTCTTGGTTTTGTTCGGTGGCTCAGAGCCACTTTGCGTTGCCAATTTTCGACTTAAAGGTTCTTGGGGAGTAGCTGCCTGTTTTCGTTTTCGTTTCCCTGTTTTACTGGGTGATTTTGGGTCTCCCTGTTCAACTGGGGCACGAGACGACGATTTATTAGGCTGCACGATTTCCAAACCACAACGGATTCGGTAGGCAGATATCATTTCTTGACATTGTGGAATTTCGTCTGCTCTATATTCAAGGTCTGACTCAGGGCCGTAGCCTCGAAGACGCAAACGATACTTGTAGTTGTACGGGGTTTTCGGCCCCTTACCACTCTTATGGCTTACCACTTTGTCAACGACGTAGGATTCAATTTTCGGTTGAGCTTCGTCGGGATGGTCTAGCTCGGGCAACGGAATCTGGCGTCCTAAGAAAAACTCGGAAAGTTTATCAAAGTCTGGCGCAGGTGGCGTTTTCCTCGCGTAGTACTGTTTAATGTGGGCTAAATGGACCGAAACTTCTCGAGTTTCGTTCTGGCGTCTCACTCTATATACCACCGGTGATAATTTAGAGCAGATGACGTAAGGTCCTCTCCACGGTAACAATAATTTCGGATTTGGTCCATCCGAATCCTGGTATGGGCGGTACACAAGTACTAGATCACCAGGTTTAAACACAGGGATAGGGCGCAGTTTAGCGTTCTTGGCAGCTTGTTTTTTTGTGCGTTCCGATAGGTTACGGCGCGCTAGTTCAAAAGCAACCTGTAGATTTTCCTGTGTTGTTTTAGAGAATTCCTCGGTATTCGCTGTTGTTCCCACATGAGGGATGCCGAGGATAATGTCAACTGGTAGTCGTGGCTTCCGACCAAACATAAGAAAGAATGGTGTTTCATGTATGGTGGAGCTAAATGACGTGTTGTAAGCCAGTTGGACAAAAGGCAGCAATGATGCCCAGTTATCGCGGTTCATGGAACTATGCATGGCAAGCATTGCGTGCATGGTAGCATGTACTCGTTCTGAGACAGAATTACCCTGCGGACGGCATGGTGTCGTGCGGGTTTTCTTATAGTTCAGAATACGCTGTAATTGGTGGACTACACTGTTCTCAAATTCAGGTCCTTGGTCGGAATGCAACAGTTCAGGCGATCCAAAGATGCTGATGATGCGGTCGATAATGGCCTGAGCGACAGTGATTGCTGACTTGTTGGGAATCGGAGTCAACACGGTGAATCGGGTTAGTTAGGTGGTCCATCATGGATAGGACATGTTTGCACCGTACCCCGGCGGCTGAAACTGATTCTACTTTATATTCAACTAGGTCAACCGAAAATTTGTACTGGTACATGTCCCGTTGGTAATTTGTTCCGGTTGTGGGCTGTTTTCCGACGGTGACAGGCTTGGCATTCTTGACACCAAGTACGGACGTCCCGATTCATGGTTGGCCACCAGTACTTTTGGCGGATCTTCTCATAATAAGTCGGTCTAGACGCTAAGTGGCCCCCAGATAATACGTGGTCATGATAGGCGTGTAGCACTAGTCCGGTAAGGGCGTAAGGCAACACCAATTGGTCACTAAACGTACTACGTTTCCGGAGGTAGCCTGGTAAATACGATTTAAACAGCAATCCATCTCTTCGTCGACGCCAATGAGGACACTGGCTATTGTCGGAGACAGATGCCGGTGCCGTGGCAGTATTATCCCACTGCCAGGGGAAGGCTATTTCCTCTCGTGATGTGTAAACGAGGAGAAGAGGGTAGAAAGAGAGAGAGTGGCCATAGCGGCAGAGGGAGAGGAGAGTCGAAGACTCTCCGCTTCCACTTTCGGCAAGTGGCCAGGGACTTCGGAAGATATCCATCTCCGACGGTGCATTTCCTGTCACTCTCCTTGTGACAAGATACCCCGAGGGAGCCATATCTTCCTACACTTTGTATGTGCACACATGGTTGGTTATACTCCTGACAGGTGTCCTCCACATTAAGGCTAAATGGGATTTTTGAGTGGAAGGCTGATGAGTACTGATGACCAACCAAGGTGAAATCGAGGCTAGTGGCGAGAGGAGATATGCAGCAAGCACATGTTGATTGTGGGGAAAGGTATGCACCAACTGTAGCGGTTTCTAGCGTTCGCTTGTCGGCTACGATGGCATGTGAGCAAAGCTTTCTCTCCGCCATTTTGACATCAAGTATTCGTACAGTCGGATTTGGATAAAATAAGATGCTTTCATGCGTCTGTCAGGGGGGTGTGGTAGATTTTGTCAGGTATGATAGTGAGGTACAGGTCTGAAGCAGGCGCTGAGGCAATGGTACTCACTCGCACTTGGCAAAGTGTTGGTTTTTTGGGGTTTTATTCAGTGCCTGACGGATACGTGTGTGTTTCAGTTGATCGAGGAGGGCAGCGGTGGTAACTCTCTGGTGTTGCATGCATGTGGATGATATATTTTCGATAAGAGAGGAGGAGAGGTGTGACCAGTTTGGTACCGACCTCAACACCATGGTACCGATGAAGAACTTGGGGGTTTGAGGTGTGAAACATTAGTACAGTGGGGGGCCCTCTATAGTGCCGGTTGAATAGTGCCAACTGCCGGTATAGTGCCGGTAAAATCTCTCCACACAGAAATCGCCCTCAATAGTGCCGTTTGGCACTATTGAGGGCGGGCCTGGTATAGTGCCGGTTGGGCACCACGTCAGCCCGCAATAGTGCCGGTTCATCAAAAGTACCCAGCTAGGTTCATCTTCAACGTGGACGAGACAGGCATCCAGTGGAAGCTTATGCCCAGGCGCACGTATCTTTCCTCCTCGGAGGACCGCAAGAAGGCGCGGGGCTCCAAGAGCATGTACTTCAAGGATCGGATGTCTGCCATCATGTGCAGCAACGCCGACGGCACTGCAAAGGTGGATATGGCCATCATCGGGAGGTCGAAGGTGCCTCGCTGCTTCACGGACGCGCCTTCACCTCTGAAGTACTTCTCGCAGGCCAACGCGTGGTCTGACTCCGCGACGTTCCTCAAGTGGTGGCTTGAAGTCTTCCTCCCGTTCATTCGGCGCTTCACTCACGAAAAGGTGCTGCTCCTGATGGACGGCTGCTCCTCTCACGGCGATCTCGTTGATGATCGTGGGCAAGTTACCATCAAGTTCTATCCTCCGAACTGCACCAGCCTGCACCAGCCCATGGACATGGGGATCATCGCGAAGACGAAGGTCCTCTACAGGAAGGAGCTGCTCGACGTGAAGGCATCCACAATGTTGGTCGCTGAGACCCTTCGCGCCCAGGCCAAAGCCAGTAAGATGAAGGCCGGGACGATGGGGCTGGCGCAGGGGCACCAACCTCACCTACGGGACGCCGCTGAACTTCTTCAGAAAGCATGGGGCAGCGTCACTCCCCAGGACATCGCCAGGTCAGGTTTGAACATGTTCTGTTGCTATGTAGATGCTTCAACTCGGGCGGTGGTGCTAGCACAATAGCTTTGGTGGCACGTTTCGTGGCAGAGGTGGTACGGATTTTTTTTGAGAAAGTTTCCTGCAGGGGCATCCCTCGTTTGCAATAAAAATTTCCTCTTTTTTTGCATGCGGATGAGTCAACTTCTGCCGCTGGGTCCGTCTAATATCTGCGTTGCACTCAAAAACGGATGCGGTTCGTATTCTCGGCAACCCCGCGACCAGGTGCTTTGTCAAAGCGGACACGCTTCCGCAGGAGATGGCGGCTGAGCTCACCAACCTCCACGGGAAAACCCAGGCCCGCATCCACGAGCCTGCGTTGAGGTCCCTCACGAAGAGTGTCCACTCGTTGAGCACGAGCGTGCACGACGCGCAGCAGCAGGGGTCTCGCATCGAAGACGAGGACCTGAGTGAAATGTTCGCAGAACTCAACGTCTCACCCGGAGAGCCTGCCCCGGAGGAGGCGGTGGACTTAGTTCAGGCGTGGGCTACCATCGAGGATGACGATGACGTGGTGGAGGCTTTTCGACAGGATGCAGCGGACGAAATGACGGCACAGCTAGCGGGAACGCGCCTATCTACCAGCCGCGAGGAGGAATCCGAAGATGAGGCGGACAGTGATCATGAGGACACGGGGGGCGGCCGCCGCGCCCCACCGGCTTACGGTGAACTGTCTTCTCACTTCGGTGTCCTGGAGATGGCCGCGCGGGAGAGTGGAAACGGGGACGCTGCGTTCCACCTATCGAAAGCGAAGATGGCGATGATCGCGGCGCATGCCGCTAAGGGCGTGCGCCAGACAGACATGAGAGAGTTTGTTGATGAGTGAGGGGGGGACAGCTATACCGCAGTTTTTTTCTTTTTGTTTTGTTTTATTTTTGTCCGCTTCGTTGCTGGCGCGTTTATTGGTTTTGTTGGCGTGTCTCATCACGCAACATCGTAGGGAGGCAGCGAGGAACGTGACATTTTTTCAAGTATACTAAGTTGCACGGACGGGAGCTGTACACGGGGTTTGGCTCCGAAGGTGAATTCTGCGCGTGCATGCGGGAATGGTTTCGCGGCAAACTCAGCTATCAGAGTGAAACCCACATTTGTCTCAGAAAAGGCTGCCCCTGCCGCCCACAAAGTATATTCACCACACTCGATCCACATGCTACTCTGTTGGCCTCGCAAATGGTAAGCGATACACCATGAACTCAAACAGCAGTGCCTCAGTAGTGCCAGACCGGCACTACTGAGGGATATCGATCACCCGAATAGTGCCGTTTGGCACTATTGAGGCACTATTCCCAGTTGTGCCGGTGCCCGCTATAGTGCCGGTGAACGCCCTGCGCACGTACCGGCACTATAGAGGGCCCCCCACTGTAGTGGCAATCAGATAGCACGGCCATCGGTGCGACGAAGAGGCAGTCGAAGGGTGGCGGCAGGGCCTACAACTGAACTGCTGTAGGAACATCTGGGAGGCGACCATCTTGCTTAGGTGGGGTGTGTGTTGGGAGATTGGTTGATGAAGGTGGAGTGAGGGTGTGTCGTGGGTTGTGGGAGGATAGGGGACGAGGTGTGTTATGATACGGCGAGATTATGTGTGCTGAGCCAGAACCTATCATGACACGCAAAAGTTCTCTCAACGCACGTGACAGCAGCAGCGCCAGACAAAACTTGTCGTTGTAACGTAGACAATTGTTAACCGTCAGACACGTCACGACACGCGGTGGTAATTCACAGCCAGCAGAGCGGGTGGGCCTGTGATTAGGCTAATTTGGGCTGAGTCTCCTCGCCATTCCCTGCACCCTACAAGCATCGCGAGATCACGAGCCGCTGGGGACTATTCATCTGCTCTTCTTTCCGCTGCGGGGTATTTATTTCAAATTTGAACCCTCGAAGATGATTGGCTGAGCCAGTCGCGGCATGACGTACGCAAGCACGCGGTTCTCCGTAGAACTCTGGTGTTGAAACGAAATCACCAGCTTCGGCACGCGCCCTCACCCCATCTCTCACAACTTTCTCTACCCTCTCTGTCCACTCTTTCATCCCCAAACACGATGGCTGCCTCCTCCAACATGTTCCTCGGCACTGCCGCCACCCTCATCGCCTCGTCGGCTGCCTTCGTGACACCGATGGCCGTGCGATCTGCGGCGCCCGCGTCCTCTGCTTCGGCCCTCAAGATGAGCGCTGGAACGGACTACCTTGCAACCTTGCCAGGAGCGAACGGAAAGGTATCGTACACAGCCTTGAGTCTCTCCACCGCGAGTTAGTCGGGAATCGTATCTGCCCTGTAGTTGCCTCTGCTGCTGCCGTGCTTTGTGGTTGACCCATGTCTGCTCAGCGGGAGGTCGTAGATATGCAGACGAAGAAACCGCGTGTCTGGTCTGCACGCACGCGCACACTGTACATGCACGCGCACAAACAAATGTTAGATCCTTTCTCTGACACGTCGACACATATGTGTGCGCATCGTCGCGGACTTGGAACTGGAGGAGTATTGTACCACTTCCCGGGGCATGGTAGATGCCTCCCACGCTTGTTTGAGGATCGTCTTGCCTCTCTGCCTCGTGGGGTGACGGCTGTGGGGTCGGCTGCTTCCAACAAGATCCTCCCGCCGTTCTTTCTGCCGTGTTGGCTCTCCGTGTTCTTTCGAACCCGCCAGATCTTCGACCTGCTCGAGCTGGCCGATGGCGCTGATCCTGGAGAAATCAAGCTCTGGCGCGAGGCCGAGATCAAGCACGGGCGTGTGGCTATGCTTGCGACGGTTGGCGTCGTTGTGGCCGAGGTATGATCGAACACACAACGTCTGCTGTTCCTGTCTGAGGAAAATGCACCTCCCTGCTTCCCTTCCAATTTATCGGCCACCGTGCGTACCTCTTCAGAAAGATAGAAAGAAAGGTGTTGTATTGGGTTAGTGACATTTATGTAGCGATTTGATGTCAGAATATTCACCGAATGCATGCGCAACAGGACAGCGCCGAGCGATGGAGCGTGGATTTTCGTGGAGTGACATGCCATGCGCCTACGTGAGTGAATGATTCCTGCCCAAACCTCCGCCCACTTGTACGGACAGAGGCGGTTCAAAAAAAGGAGGCGGCGAATTTATTTCCCACGTGGATTACGCACCATATTAGCGTAGGGAGCAAGCAATCAGATATATTTTTGAGTTAGCTCACGACATATTCGTGCGGCAGGGAACCACGGGCTAATTTGAGCATGACGTGTCCTTTTCTCTGCATCAAGAATCAAGCACATGCATTCCTCCGCTCCTGTGCGGCCGGAAGAATTTCAAATAATAATGTGACGTGTCGGCAAGTTTTCGCGTAGAGAGGGACGGCCAAAAGATTCTGGCTTCTGGCATGTGTACAGCGCGTAACTCGGCTGACTCGTACCTTCTCACCCCTTCCCTGCTACATCTTTGCCTCCTTACTTGCCCACTCTAGCAATACCACCCTTTCTTCATGGGCCCCGACTACATCGGTCCCGCCGTGGACCATTTCCAGGAGATCACCGCGAAGTTCCCCCAGGTAAATAGGATCAGCAGAAGTACAACGGAAGAAGAAATACCGCCGATCGACAGCAACATCGTCAAATGATGCCGGACAGCAGGGCAATTGTTTTCCTTGTCGTCGGATGGATCATTATTATGAAGCATGTCGTTTTCGGCGGTGACATGCCGTGGCGTGGTTGTGCTCACAAATTTGTCTCTTAACGTGAAATGTATTGGCGTACGTGATGAACCGTGGGCAGGCATGCAAGCACTAATGCTCATCTGTGCGGGTATCTCGCCTGCCACCGATGAAAGATGTACAGTCCGTGTTTGCCTCCCTTTGCCACTGATGGATTTATTATATGCCACCGATGAAAGATGTACACTCCGTGTTTGCCTCCCTTTGCCACTGATGGATTTATTATATGTTACCAGCCTACACCCAGGACCGGCCAACCCAGTTGCCCGTCAGAACTTGTCCGAAAACTGGACATTGCTGCTGTATCGTTCTCAATTATTTGGAAATCCCCCCGGACTCTCAACCGCGGAGAGAAATGATATATCTTCCAAAAAATCCAAAATTATGTACATACAAACGACCACGTTACTGCCGCAAGTACGAAGGCCGTTCACACTACAAGACGTGAGCAGGACAGAGCGCAACTTGCTAGTGTGAGCGGCCATCGTACTTGCAGCAGCATCCACCATACCTACAGAGTGGGGCTACCACCCAGACTGCTGCACCTGCAGAGTATGGACAGGTGTGGTGTTTGTTCGTTCGTAAGCCTTGTTTGGGTTTCTAGAAGACACGTCATCTGTACCCACAGGTAGCTAGCGATGAATGTATAGTTGTATTCTTTGTGGGTAAATAAAAACTGAACCACGGCAAATTCAACAAGTTGGTTGACCACGCGATGCGCGATGCTCCCAAACGTTCACATTCCCGAGCTACATGGTCGTTGACCCGTTGCCCTCTCCGGCTTTCCACTCTGGGCTTTGCTGAGCAAGGGGAAACGATACGTTCACCCAGCGACGCTGTGTGGATGGTCGTGTTGCACGTAACTCCTGTTCACGAATCAAGCGCTTTCTGTTAAATGATGCTGTAGCGCGCCTGGGGGAATGCTCGTGTCTCCGTGGGTATGCGTAGCCGCGATCAAGCCCCAAGGTCTTTCGGCAAAACAAAATGTAACCCCCGGACCCTTGTGCATCCTACGCTGTACACTCGCGCCCACGGCCGTGATCGCTCCCAAACCTCAGTTCTGGGCTTACTCTCTGCTCGGCATGGCCTTCATCGAGTACAACACCATCAAGAAGGCATATGCTGAGCCCAGCCCCGTTACCGGTGAGGGCGGCCTCAGGGATGAGTACAGCCCGGGAGACCTTGGCTTCGACCCCGCCAAGATCAAGCCCAAGGACCAGGCGGGCCTGGAGAAGATGCAGAACAAGGAGCTTAACAACGGGCGCCTCGCCATGATCGGCATCGTCGGCATGTTGGTGCAGGAGCTGGTTAACGGGCAGGACATCCTCGGCTAAACGGCATGGGAGGAACGGGGTCGCTTTTGCGGCCAAGCCTGACCGTAAATCGATCTGTACATAAAAGGGAGACGACCCAACAAGCGAACTGCTGCTTTGCATACATACGTGTTCGTTCCTTGAGGGAAAGATTAATGGGTGTTAGCACTGCACGGTAATAGAACAAGGAAAGAACGTACGCACATGTGTCTGTTGGATGTCTTTTTTCTTTTCAGTACATGGTGACCATCCACGTGTAGCGAACCCTGAATAGCTTTCGGCTGGTTCTTTTGGCTGGCGTGGCGATTCCATGCGTTCATTTGGTGCATGTCGTCGGTCAAAGAAGGCACATGATGCTTGATTGAAACATACCTGTAGTCCAAACGTTACTTACTCGTGCAGTCCTTGTTGATGGCATATCCTTGATTTTACAGTTAATGGAGGGGGGTCAGAAGGCGGAGGAGGGGTCGTGTAATCTGACCAGACACATTTTTTGACAGCGTGCCAGCAGACGTGCGCTCTGGCCCTCTGTATGTAAGCCGTAGTCTAAGCCTGATTTAGAATGGAGCGTAGTCAATAGTTCGCACGTGGCTCCTGCGGCGCGCTTTCTCCGACAGGGACTTAGACCTGTGACGGAGACACAACACTCCGTAGGCTGATTCGAGTGGTAGTGTCGCGCCGGAGGGAACGACATGATGAGTGGTGACTGGCGGTGTGGGCATGTGTAGAGTTTCGGGTCTGTCGGATGACCTTGCCCCGAGGAAAGAAAAATGCAATATTCTGTTGTTGAAAAGACGATCCATGAGTTAAGTTCGTAGCTGGGAAGAGTCCCTGAAACGACCGCTCACACAGCGCAAATATCAAGGTTCATTTGTTGCGATGTCGAAATTTTGGACTCTGAGACGTGGTTGGCGATACCAAGCCGCCGTTCGGACGGAACAGAGGTGCCCATGTCCAACAACGCACTCGCGGCCACCCCCACCCTCTTGCTGCGTGGCTTGTGCCAAATGTCTTGGTGGGTGGCGACGCGGATGGGAACGTGGCGGATAAACCCCTCCACACGATTTGCGTGTAGATCTCCAAGTACCTTCCAACATTCAGCAAATGACCACAAGCAAGTTCACCATACACTTGACTGGATTACGTTCGTTCGCCTCCGTAACCGGGAGACGCACCGAAGAACGGACAAACGTGGGTTTGATGGAGGCCGGTACTTTGTGCCAGTCAACTACCGTAGCAACCAGAGAGCGTCATGAAGGCTTAGACTACTGGGTTTTGAAGTGGAAGGCGGAGGAGTACTCATGATGGCCAACCAAGGTGAAATCGAGCCTATTAGTGGCGAGAGGCAATATGCAGCAAGCACGTGTTGATTGTGGGGAAACGTACCTATGCACCAATTGTAGCAGCTTCTAGCGTTCGGTAGCAGCTTCTAGCGTTCGCTTGTTGGCTACGATGGCATGTGAGCAAGACCTTCCTCTCCGCCATTTTGACATCAAGCACGTATTCATACCGTCGAATTTGGATGAGGATGTTTTATGCGTGTGCCAGAGGGGTGTGGTAGATTGTCAGGACCTGCTATGATAGTGAAGATGAAGCGTCGAGGCAATGGCGCTAGCACTTGGCGAACTGTTTGGGCTATTTGGGTTTATTCAGTGCCTGACGGATACGTATGTACGTGTTTCGCTTGATCGAGGAGGGACGAGTGGTAGTAGTGACTCTGGTGGTGCATGTGGATGATATACTTTCGATAGGAGAGGAGAGGTGCGACAGTTTGTTTGGTACGGACCTCAACACCATGGTGGTATCGGTGAAGAATCTTGGGGGTTTGAGGTGGTATTCTGGGTGTTTATCAAGAGAGAGATCGGGAGGCAGGGACTTTGAAGATCTCGCAGCAAACGCATGCTGAAGAGTTGGGGATGCAGTTTGGGGTGGGGTATGGGAAAGAGATACCTCTTCCAGTAGGGGTGAAGCTTGATGAGTTTGATCAAGATGAGGAAGCAGTGTCATGGCCTTTGGTGAGCCGATAGGATCGCTGATGTGGCTGGCAACGCTAATGAGGCCAGACATTTCGAATGTAGTGAGAACGGTAGCAGCAAGGCATTGTCCTTCTCCCAAATAGACCAATTGGAGAGCAGGTCTTGGTATTTTGGGGTATGTATGTGGTGAGGACGTGACTTGAGTATTACATTCAGGAGAGGCAGTGTAGAGGGTTTGAGCATGCAGGTTTTCGCAGACGCAGACTATGCAAGCAAGGCTGCCGACAGGAGGTCTGTGCCAGGGGGTTTGGTCATGTGTGGAGGGGTGTATTTCTTGGTTTTCGAGGAAGCAGAAGTAATTGCGGTATGTTGAGGACAACAGAGGGGGAGCATGTCTCTCTTGCGGATGTGCTGAAGGAGGTGTTGTTCCTGAGGCAGGTGTGCCGTTTTATGTTGCCAGGTGAGGGGATGCCGTTTGTTCCGGAGCACGAGGATAAGCAGGGGGCTATTCAGCTGGCGCAGAATCCGATAGACAACAACCGAAGTTCCAAGCACCACTTTAGCAGGGAACTTGTAGGGAGGAAGGAGATTTCGATTTTCTACGTAGAGTCGGCGTACGAACTGCGATTTGGCCCCTTGTTTCAGAATTAATCATCTTGAGGCTGTGTGAAACTCTCTTGTCCGACCGCGGATAGATGCAGGTTGTTGTTGCTTTCCGTTATGCTCTTCTCTTGATGAACGCTTTCTCGAGCCAACTCACACAGATCCCAAGCACACCCGATCATTCCATCGTATAGTACGCATGCTGAACAGAAGGGCACATTACATGCCTCGGCATAATAAAAGCTCGAATCTTGCATGACGTCACGTCATAGCATCTGATAACAACGCCAAATAACCAGGTTAAACACGATCACATGTCTACCTCAAAATACGATAACAAAGGCGCTTCACGTGGGAAATTTTGAGTTTAATTGTAATAATAATGTCGTAATGAGTGTGGGATAAGAATCTTAGATTGTATATATTTGTGTGTGATCAAACAACTAGGGAGGCAACGTTTTACATTTTTTCCTTTGGTTTTCTCAACGGAAAGAAGGCTGGGGGGCAGCTAGATCGCTAAGGTTTCGAAGAAATACTGGGTGATTTTGTGGTACCTAGGTACGGTGTCGCCCCCTCATCGGGGCATGTGTGTGAGACCAGCTGTTATGGAGAAATATTACGATTTGGGATCCCGATATTTTTTTTCGCCCTTTGTATCCAAACCCACATGAGGGGGACATGAGGCCGCAGGAGTTCTGCGCACTTCGTTGGAAAAGCACACAAACGCGCTTTGGCAATCAGTACTCGCCTTACAGACATACGTCCGTTTGCAATCATACCTTTGAGGCCGCACAGTGCTTTGTTGTGAGCCTCTTCGAGCCAAGTTTGGAGCTGGGGTGCATCTGTTCATCATGCTTGGTAAAATAGGAAATCCAATTTGAATATGTTGGAGGATCCTGGTTGTTCGAATTCCTCATTAATTTCAAACTGGAAATGATGAATTTAGTTTCTTTCATATCCGACGCATACTCTGCGCACACTGCACTCTGCTGCCCAAACTTGGCTCCGAGAAACTCACAGTACTAGTTCAGAACGAGCCCGGAGAAAAGAAGCGTCAAAATCGTGTCGAGCCTCAATTTCTTGTTTCGCCCGAAGGACCAGACGAAGTCGGCCAATTTCTTCAAACGGAAATCTTAATTCCTTGAGGTGTCGCATAATCCTGCTGCTCTTATTTTCTTGTTTCTGGCGAAGAAACCAACAACACACCAACCCATGCAGAATTTTCATTCGACAGCTCGGTGGTGGCGAACATTTATTGGGATTGTCACCCTCTTGAACTTCCTGACTCCCGTGATTTGTGGCAGTACAGCAGCAGTACAACAGCAGTGAGTACCGCAGACCGCGGCGGCGCGGGGGGCCGGGGGGCGACCCGAAAATAACCACTCCCCCCCCTACCAAAAAATTACGTGATGAGCTAGCTTAGGTAGTGGTGGGAGCTGGCAGCACCATGGGAGGTTTCTTATTGGACACTCTTCCTCAGTTATCCGTTGTTTTCTTTTGGTCTCGGGGTATCGCACTATCATGTTTCTTATTGGGACGTTTATTTTGTCGTGGCCAAGATTGAGCTAGGTTTCTTCGCCCTTTTTCTTTTTTTTCGCAAACATTTGAGCTTATTTTTCTTAACAGAATTTTTCTTCATTGCGGGCCCGTTCTGTAGTGGAGTTGCAGCCTTATCGGTTAGGTAACAAACAGGGGTCTGTGAGGCGAGGATGAACTGACGTTGTACAGTCGTGCACCAAGATTGAGGTACATAGCTCCCTCGGTTATTACGACGAACAACATTCCTTTCACTTGCTTTCACAGGCAGGTTGGCTCGCAGAGTGTACAACATAGGGAGGGGTATCATTACGGACACTTTCTCCCGGACACTTTTTTTAGCAAGAATCCAGGGTGGGTGATGTGGGTGGGTGTGTCGTTGTAACCGAGGTTCGACTGTACGCAGAACCCTCCTGCTTTTCTCATGTTTTTTTTTACGGGGTGGCGGTCAAATTCTGTTGATTCCCCGGATTCCAAAAATTTGGCAACAGGCCGAGATTGAAGATGACATGAGACCAATCACAACAGACGCGTGAGCCCGCCGAGTCGCCGGCAACCTAGACTTAACACAACACTCTTGCGACAAGCTACCCCCAGTTCGTATCATCTCAGGGTACATAGTCCAGAGCTAACACAGCACCACCGTGGGTGTTGGCTCACTCACGCGACCACTCTCACACGTCAATATCACCTTTCCGTCAGAGAAGGGAGCTCTGGGCAGGGTTGCGACGTAGTCCGAACCAGCGCTCGTCTTGAGGCTCGAGGAGGAAGGAGTAGTGGCAACAGATCGCACGGCCATCGGTGCGACGAACACAAGGAAGTCGAGGAGGCGATAAGGGGTGGCCGTACAGTGCCTATGTAGAAACATCTGGGAGGCGACCATCTTGCTTAGGTGGGGTGTGTGTTGGGAAATCGGTTGATGAAGGTGGGATGAGGGTGTGTTGTGGATGTGGAAGGATGGGGGAAGAGGCTGGTGGATGATGCGGCGACTTGTTGTGTGTGGCGAGCCTGGAAGCAAGTTCTCGATGGACGAGACAGCAGCGCCAGACCAACTTGTACTTGTAATGCGGACAACCGTCAGACACGTCACGACACGCGGTGGTAATTCACAGCCAGCAGAGCGGGTGGGTCTGTGATTAGGCTAATTAGGGCTGAGTCTCCTCGCTATTCCCTGCAAGTATCTCGGGATCACGAGCCGCCGGGGGCTTTTCATCTGCTCTTCTTTACGCTGCGGGGTATTTATTTCAAATTTGAATTCTCGAAGATGATTGGCTGACCCAGACGCGGCATGACGTATATCCAAGTACACAAGCACGCGGTTCTCCGTAGAACTTCCGTGCTTACACGAAATCACCAGCTTCGGCACGCGCCCTTCCCCCCCATCCCGCCCAACTTTCTCCACCCTCTCCGTCCACTCTTTCATCCCCAAACACGATGGCTGCCTCCTCCAACATGTTCCTCGGCACTGCCGCCACCCTCATCGCCTCGTCGGCTGCCTTCGTGACACCGATGGCCGTGCGATCTGCGGCATCCCCGTCCTCGGCTTCGGCCCTCAAGATGAGCGCTGGAACGGACTACCTTGCAACCTTGTCAGGAGCCCCCTTCTCGAATGGAAAGGTATCATACACAGCCCTGAGCCTCTCCACAGCCAGCTAGTCGGGAATCGTATCTTCCCTGTAGTTGCCTCTGCTGGTGCCGTGCTCTGTGTAGATGGTTGGCCCATGTCTGCTCAGCGAGAGGCCGTAGATATCTGCAAATGCAGACGAAGAAACCGTGTCTGGGTCTGCACGCGCACATTGTACATGCACGCGCACACACGCGTACAGACACGCGCACACACACCCTTGACACATGTGTATGTGCATCGTCTCGGACGTGGACCTGTAGGAGTTAGCACTTGCATGATACTGTAGATCTCTACCACGCTTGTTTGAAGAGTGTCTTGCCTCTCCGCCTCGTGGGGTGGCTGTCGGGGTGTAGCTATGCTTGCGACCGTTGGCGTCATTGTGGCCGAGGTAATGATCAAACACACGACTGACTGCTGTTGGCTGTTGTTGTCTCAGAAAAAGGCACCTCCCGTCCAATTTAATCTGCTGCTGTGCGCATGTACCTCTTCGGAAAAATAGAAAGATTTTGTGTTGGGCCGGGCATTTAGAACTGATCTCTTTGTTAGAATGTGCACCGAATGCATGCGCAGCAGGACGGCGCAGATCGATGGAGCGTCTAGATTCTACATGTATGTGTCTACTGTACATACATAGTGTACATGATGCCTGCGTGGATCTCCACCCACTTCTACGGACATCAGAGGCGGCCCAAAAACATGAGCGGCGCGAGTTTATTTCCCACTTATGCATGAACCACAGCTGTTATGCGTAGGGAGTAGGGAGCATGCAGTCAGATATCTTTGCGAGTTCAGCTCACGACATACTCGTGCGGCAGAGCACAACGGACTATGCCTTACGCACTGGCATTAAAGTTCTTTTTAGCTACTTTCACGTTTCGGCATGTTTTCGCGTAAAGAGGTCACGTGGCCTTATTGACGGCTAAAAGACTCTGGCTTCGGGCATATGTACAGCGCGTAACTCGGCTGGGTCGTACCTTCTCACCCCTTCCCTGCTATATGTACTCCCCAAACCTGGAAACCTGAAAATCCGTAAACAATTAATCACCTGAAAATCCCTAAACAATTAATAATTAAAACAAACACCCCCCATATATATATATATCCAATGTACTCCCCAAACCTGAAAAATAACTACAATTAAAATTAACACACCCATATTCTGCATCGTTGCCTCCTCACTTGCCCAATCCAGCAATACCACCCTTTCTTCATGGGCCCGACTACATCGGCCCTGCCGTGGGCCACTTCCAGGAGATCACCGCGCAATTCCCTCAGGTGATCAGGAGTATAACCGAAAAAGAGATACCGCGAATCCACCACACAGGGGTAACCGCTTTGACTCACAGATCAAAGGCAGCATCGTCAAATGATGCTGGACAGTAGTGCAATTGTTTTCCTTGCCGTTGGATGGATTATTGTTCAGGGTGTCGTTTTCGGCGGTGACATGGGTGCCACCGTGGTTGTACTCACAAATCGGTCTCTTGTAACGTGAAAGGTATTGGCGTACGTAATGAACCCGTGGGCATGCAAGCACCTCAAGTAGTAATGCTGATCTGTGCTGGTATCCCGCCTGCCATGGATGAAAGACGGACAATTTCGTGTTTGCCTCCCGTTGCCATCGATGGATTAACGATATGTTTCCACGCCTACACTGAGGGCAGGCCAACCAGTTGCACGTCAGAATTTGTCCGAAAACTGGGCATTGTTGTTGCATAGTTAATGTTGCTTTGCTAGTTTCCAAGGACTCTCAACCGCGGATATATTGGAAATGTCTTCCAACAAATCCAAAAAATATGTACATGAAAAACGAACACGTTACATACTGCCGCAAGTACGAGGACCGCTCACACAAAAGCGCGAGTAGAGAGGGCAGCAGCAGTATCTCACCATACCTACAGAGTGGAATCACCTTTACTGCTGTACCTGCCGAGTATGGATAGGTTGGTGTTTGTTCGTTCTGCCCATCAATCTTGTTTGGATTTTTAGAAGACAAGTCTTCTTCTCTCTACCCACGGGTGCAAGAGTCCGGGATAAATGAGCAATGAATGCATAGTCTTTGTCAATTCGTTGTTTTTTTTGTGTTGTAGAAAATATTAAAACTAGACGACGGCATAGGCAACAGGTTCGTTGGCCACGCGACGCTCCCAACCTTCACACTCCCGAGCTACATGGTCATTGACCCGTTGCCTTCTCAGGCTTTCGACTCTGGGCTTTGCTGAGCAAGTGGAAACGATACGTTCATCCAGCAACGCTGTGTGGAGTTGGTCACGTTGCACGTAACTCCTGTTTCAAGAATCAAGCGCCTTCTGCTACATACATGATGCTGGAGCATGCCCGCGGGGATACGCGTGTCTCCGTCGGTATGCGTCTTCCGGCAAAACAAAATGTAACCCCCGGACCCTTGTGCATCCTAAACTGTACGCTCGCACCCACGGCCGTGATCGTCTCCAAACCTCAGTTCTGGGCTTTCTACCTGTTCGGCATGGCCCTGATCGAATACAACACCATCAAGAAGGCATATGCTGAGCCCAGCCCCATTACCGGCGAGGGCGGCCTCAGGGAGGAGTACAGCCCGGGAGCTCGGTTTCGACCCCGCCAAGATCAAGCCCAAGAACCCGGTGCGCCCAAAGAAGATGCAGACCAAGGAGCTTAACAACGGGCGCCTCGCCATGATCGGCATCGCCGGCATGTTGGTGCAGGAGCTGGTTAACGGGCAGGACATCCTCGGCTAAACGGAATGGGAGGAACGGGGTCGCTTTTGCGGCCAAGCCTGACCGTAAATCGATCTGTGCATAGAAGGGAGACGACCCAACAAGCGAACTGCTGCTTTGCATACATATACGTGTTCGTTCCTTGAGAGAACGAATTGATGGGTGTTAGCACTGCACTGGTAATAGAACAAGGAAAGAACGGACACACGTGTGTGTGTCTGTTGGATGTATTTTATCTTTTCAGTACATGGTGACCCTCCACGTGTAACGAACCCTGAATAGATTTCGGCTGGTTCTTTTGGCTGGCGTGGCGATTCCATGCGTTCATTTGGTGCATACCGTTGGTCAAAGAAGGGACATGATGTGTCCTGGAAACACACGTGTAGTTAGAAACGTTACTTACTCGTGCAGTCCTTGTTGAATGGCATATCCTAGGTTTTCAGAGTAAAAGAAAGGGGCCCAGAAGGTGGAGGGGTCGTGTAATCTGACCGGATGCATTTTGATCGTGTGTTAGCAGACGTGCAAGATTGTCATACACCCGCTCTGCCCTCTTTGTGGAAGACTACAGTATAGTATTGAGCCTAATTTAGAATGGAGTGTAGCCAATAGTTCGCACGTGGTTCCTGCGGCGCGCTTTCTCCGACAGCGACTAGACTTGTGACGGAGACACACACACAACTCCGTAGACTGATTCAAGTGGTAGTGTCGCGCCCGTGGGAAAGATATGATGAGTGGTGACTGTCGGTGTGGGCACGGTATGTAAAGTGTAGAGGTTTAGGGTCTGTCGGGTGACTTTTCCCCGGAAGAAGCCAATTTTGCGGAGACCGCCTTCCTTCATCATAAAGAAAGGTACTATCTCCCCAACGTCCGTCGAGGACGATTCCCTCTTTTCACAATTGCATCGACGACGTGATATGTCAGAGTGTCTGCTTTTGGTTGCAAAAGACACGGGTTTTCAAATCTTGCCGCTCACCAATTTTTTTTCCGGAAAAACGGACGAAAATAATAAAGCAATGGCGGAAGGGCCAGTAATCGCGCACTGGCTATCGAACTCAGAGTTCCTGATGACGTGGCGGGCGTGGCGAGCCAGTGTAATCACGAACAGAGCATTGCACAGAGGATTGTGAAGGAGTCGATCGCCCAGCCCCCATCCGGCCGGGTTCGGTTACCCCTAGAAGAGTTCTCTTGCCTAGCAAACAAGAAGTCTCGACAAAGGGGGGGGGTAATAATGTGGAGACCATCTTCTTCCATCATGAAGGTACTATCTCCCCAACGTCCGCCGAGGACGATTAATTCTCTTTTCACAATTTTCTGTTGAAAATATAATCCACCAGTCATGACAGGAAAGTTCGCTTCTGGCAAGAGTCTCTGAAACGACCGCTTACAGCGCAAAAATGTCAAGCAAGGTGTAGTTGTTGCGATGTCGAATTTTTTTACTCTGAGACGTGGTTGGCGATACTAAGCCGCCGCCGTTCGGATGGAACAACAGAGGTGTGCCCATGTCGAACAACGCACTCTCGCGGCCACCCCCACCCTCTTGCTGCGTGGCTTGTTCACCATGCACTGATTGGATGATGTTTGTTCGCCTCCTCCTCCGTAACCGGAAGAGTCTCCGAAGAACGAACGAACTAGGAATGAATCTATATAATATACAAGGTCTCCCTTCGGGACGTGGGTGTCTACCCTCCCTCAGGTGACGCAAGACCACATGTGCATTGCCCGAAGAGGGACTGTGTGTCTTACAACGCTTGCTTGTATTTCCGCACAAAACATCGTGCACGTTGTTATTCTACATTGGAGCCAGCTCGAGCGGACAATATTATGGCAGCGAAAACTCAGACTTCCATGATGTCTTTGATTGACTATGGCAGATTTCCAATGAGAACCGAATTTGAAGCCGAAACAACACCACAAAAAATGGGGCATGTTCAACACTGCGGCTGGATGCATGCTCTCAGACTTGTCTGCACTTGGCCCGCTGCGAAGTGTGGTAAACAACTTAGGTATTGCTGTTGGACAATGCGATGACACGAAGAGTCACAGCCAGCCATGAATCATCGAACGAATGAATTAATTAATGCATTAACGAATGAAATGAAAGTGGAGAAGCAAGAGGCAAATATTTCACACCGTGGTATTTGATGGATTTGATAGGTTTCAGAATGAATTGGTTCGCCAGGCTTTGTCAGCGCGGAACGCGTCCCCGGGGTTTTGAGCCAGTTTTCGCAACTTTGGCCGTCAACCACACGCTCCACGGAGGCCTAGCGAGCTCCGGGCACGGGCGTTAATGTACCGACGAGCCTCCTGCGTGCTCCTGAGAAGGAATTGCGATAGAAGACTCGCTGCCGCGAGAGAAAGAAACGCCGAAGCATGAAAAGTGACCAAATCTTATATGTACATCTTGATGTACTATTATTATACTCATCCACTTTCATTCGTTCATTCATCATTCGTTCGATGGATTCATGGCTGTGACTCTTCGTGTCATCGCATTGTCCAACAGCAGTACCTAAGTTGTTTACTACACTTCGCAGCGGGCCAAGTGCAGACAAGTCTGAGAGCATGCATCCAGCCGCAGTGTTGAACATGTCCCATTTGTGGTGTTGTTTCGGCTTCAAATTCGGTTCTCATTGGAAATCTGAAATCTGTCATAATCAATCAAAGACATCATGGAAGTCTGAGTTTTCGCTGCCATAATATTGTCCGCTCGAGCTGGCTCCAATGTAGAATAACAACGTGCACGATGTTTTGTGCGGAAATACAAGCGTTGTAAGACACACAGTCCCTCTTCGGGCAATGCGCATGTAGTCTTGCGTCACCTGAGGGAGGGTCACCCACGTCCCGAAGGGAGACCTTGTATATACATCAAACTTCTTGGCCAACATGAAAGCCGATGCCTATTCGGTGTTTTGTCGACACACCTGCCTGCCGACATCTAAACTGTGTATGTATTATACATCGGGGGCAACCATCCACGTTCGTACACGTTTGTTTGTTGTGTTTTCGTCCTATTTATTATGGCGACAGTCCCCCCATTTTTCTTGGTGAGACATGTCCTACTCTCTTCAGTCTATGTTTTTGTACAACTACAACCATCCAGGGTCACACAGAAGGGGGGTACGTAAACACCGAGGCTTTTTTCTTGTTTTTATTTTATTTTCGGGCCCCACGTTCCTCTTGTGGTGTGTGCTGAGTCTTTTTTTGTCGCGAGCAGGATGCAGCCGTCCCTTTCCCTCGTCAACGGCGCTAACAACGTCGAAGTTTGGTACTCGCCAGAGCTTTTCAGTTTTCTTTCTCTTTCACCCGCAAAGAATTTTACTGAGAAGTAAGTTTTTCACCCCATGGGGATTCGAACTCACGACATTGCGACTAGCGGCTTCGAGGTGACCAGAAGACCACCGGGGCTGGCTACGTTGGACAATAATATTATCTATCGTTAACGTCGGGTTCAATGAACTACGTAGGCCACGCGTCCGTGGGAAGCATTGCGGCAAAAGACAAGACAAAACCCGCCCCCCTCTCCCCGGTGGTTCAGTGCTAGATGAAAATACGTTCCTCCTCTAACGGCAGAACCCACGGAGAGAAAATGCTTTTCCTACAGAACACAACTAAATAGAGTACCCAGGGAAACCGAAGCTTTGGTGCATCCCTAAGGGAAACGCCCTCGAACCTGCCTCCCGTACCCCCCCCCCTCAATTGGTCCTAGACGCTCGATACACATACATGTGGTACAAGTTCTCCAACACCATACATAAATGTGTTATGCCACTTACCAACACATCACTCGAGCTTTAACCTAAACCATCAACATCTGGGGATATTCTGTACATACATTTACCACATTTACCAGGGTGTTGAGAAGGTGCCTTGCTTGCTGATTCCGTGGAACAAAGCGAGGAACATCGACGTGTCCTTGATATGCATGCGTTATGCGACTCGAGTCGGTACGAATGCAGAGTTGGTGTCTGCTTGTCATACCCTTTTCTTCGTATCCACTCGATTCCCACGGCCATTCCACATGCTTGCTGTATTGTTGTCGCATGATGATAGACAGGCCGCTTGTTTAGACCTTGCTGTTGAACAAGTAAGTGTTTGTTCTCTAAAGGTTACCTCTCTCGTGAAAAATTCGTCTGTTTCACTCGTTACATACAAAATACTACTTCAGTACAATAGAGCTACACCACATCCTGGAGACATGAAAGTTACAATGGCCTATATACCTAACGGGCTCAACTACGAAATAGTTCATCATCCTCCTCCTCCACCAGTGAGCCAGGATGACCAGTTACCATCATCCCCGTCCTCTTCGTCCCCCATATCATCCCAATCCTCGTCTCCGAATCGATCAGCCTCAGCCTCAGCCTCAGGTTCAGGTTCAGGTGCAGGCTTAGGCTCAAGCTCATGGTTGGGGGAAAATACGTTTGGAAGTTTCCTCATCTGCTCTTCTGGCGGAATTGCCTCAGCGGGGCTGCCGCCTGCTTCTCGTACCTCTGCGCTGTCTTTGCCCACCGTCTTGGTTATTCTGAGAGCCTGGGAGTCACTCGTGCTACTGCCTCCATCTTGCTCCTGCGCGACGCCAACCGATGGACCCGAAACGCCACCATCTGCACCGTTTGTAAGCGGTTGTCCGCCTGGTCCGTTTGGCTGCTGGACGTCGTTGGCCATGTCTGACGCTCTCCCCGGCACTGCTGCAGCAGCTCTTTTCAAATCTAGAGGGATACCCTGAATGGGCGGGGTCGGCTCGGCGGGGGGGGGGTGATGCCCAATCATATCGACGATTGACGCGGACCATGAGGGTTGTTCCGAGGGAGAGTCGGTCTTCCTGCCGCCCGTACCGTCTCCCTCGGTCCCGCTTTTGTCCGAGAAAGTTTGCCTCAGTGTACTTGCGCTGCCGGTTCCCCTGTGGCCACTGCCATGCTCTTGGGGTAGCAGGTGGTGATGCTCCCCCGAGTTCTGTTCGTCTCCTCGTCTGCTACTTTTACCATCCGATGTGCTGACACTGAAAGCTACCATTCTAGGAGACGAATCCCCCAGTTCAGAAATATCCTCGCTTAACTCAAGCCCTTCGTGCCTCTCGCTACCGCCCTGCCCGCCGCCGTGCCCGTTGTCTGCAACGCTAACCTTTACCCCGGGAACTCCCTGCCCTTCCTCCTCAGACCAATCGCGTTCCACACCTACCCGATGCCAAGGTTGTGTCCGGTCCGAGTGTGCTCGCGGGTTCGTCACCTCCGGTGATATTCGCCCGTACTCCGCGTCGTAAACCTCGGTGCCCCTCCCGGAAGCCTGGGTGCGACCGTTACTACTCGGGGCATACCGCCCTTTCTCCTCCAGCGTCCCAACCGCTACCGTAGACGATCGAGCTACACCGCTCTCCGTCAATGGCGTTCGCGGGGCCCCCTCCTGCCTGCTGGTCGAGACGCCGTTTTGCACTTGTTTCACGGCCTCTGTCGGAGTCTCTGGCTGGAACTCGCTGGTGTATCCGCTGCACGTGGATGGTGCTTCGGCGAGACTTTCTGGGTGGTCTTGGGCTGGGCTGTGGTCTCCTCCGCCAGACAACATCGAACTCCATGACAAAGACACGTCTTCCGCATAATCGGCGTCGACAACGATGCTCTCCTCGAGAAGATTCTCGTCATGACCGTGGGCCAAAGACGACCCTACTCCTGCCGGACGGCCGCCAACACCCCCGTTGCCTTTGTCGCCCACTTCGTGCGGCACCATGCCCTCAGCACGCTCGGTTCCCGAACCTTGGTCGCCTAAGCGAGTTCCCGAGCCTGGGGGCTTCTGTTGGTGCGCCGACTTTGCCGGTCCCGCAAGGG